GTTCACGAGCTAGCAACTTACCCGAAGAAAATTTTCACGGGCTCCTACGAGGGTACCACGCACACCTGGAGACTGGGTTTGAGCTCACTAACACATACTTGGATGGGAAACATCCCCTTAAAATTTCAGCTCCCCAGCTTCTCTCGTTTCCGAGTTAGCAGCCTGCCCGTAAAAAACTTTGGCGGGCCCGTACGTGGGTACCACGCGGGTAAGAACGCCCATTTTAGGGATGAGGGCCCGAATATGCATGTAGATTAAGTTTCCAAAACTTCAGTCCCGTAACTTTTGCAGGTCTCGAGATGAAAAATCGGTGCAGACAAACACACAGACAACCCCTCGTCAATATGAGTTTTCTGCACTGCATAGCTGCAAAAAACGCATAATAATCACAGTACAGTGGAAATAATGAAAAAACCCAGAGAAGATACCCAGAACACCAAAAAAATCTGGGCAGTCGGTGCGGCAACTTCATGTTATCAAAGTTATTGGGATGCTTCTGGGGGGCAGGCGTACCTAAATCAGTGGTAACAACAATGAAATAATAATAATGAAAATAATAATATAAATAATGAAAACAATGATAGTGGTAAACAACAATAATAATAACGATAATAATACAATAATAATGATAATAATAATAATAACAATAATTTTATAATGGCAATAGCAATAATATTAATAGTAACAGGATAATAATAAAATTATAACAGCAGCGAATAATGGTAATGAATAAATATATAAAAATACGTAAAATGTTAACATTGCCAAGAACCAAACACATTCTACCGAAATATTTCCCGACCTCAGAATTCCTGGTCACAGCAACAGAATTTAAACTTTGGCTTGAACATAAAGCAGGTCATATGTTTCAGTGACGACACTAGCAAAACAAGAGAAATCCCGCAACATCCTAGACAAAATACTGGATGAATTTTGCCGAGATTTCAAAGGCCACAGGTTGCCTTCGAGTGTGTCTACACCCGATAGCCAGTGACCACTGGAAATTTCGAAATCGCTTGTTACAAAGAGAAAAAGGAATCCCAACAAGCAAAATTAAAGGATATACATATAAAAAAAAATAATCCAAAAAAAAAAATACATTTAATCCAAAAATTGTTCCCACAACCTTCCCCGAAAAAAAACTGATAGAAAGCAAAAAACGAAACTTATTGTTTCTTACAAACACAAGATTACTAGGTGATGCAATTTCGACATAATATTCATAAAAGGTTCACCAGGCGCTTTAGTGGCGTAAAAGTGCACAACAGCGAAATGAAAGAACTTATCGAAAGATCAATGTGCAAATGTATCAACACAGATACCACTGCATGAGCCTGTCATGAAAATGGCACAAAGACAGATGAAGTAAAAATTAAAATTTGATTCACAGTTCAAGCAGCTTTCGGCTGTATCACACCACGCGCAACAAGATCCGGCACTTCCACAGCTAACCACGGCCCCAGTCCCAGCGAAAACGCTTGGGCAATGCCAAATTTCGGAACATTTCGGGCCCATAACGGTTTGAAATGATCCGACAAACAGATTCGTCCTCCCCTAAAACAACAAACAGACAATATTCACTGTTCACGTAACAGATATGAAAGTGCAGTGATGCGCAAGAAATGGTCTTCGCATATAAGTCAGGATAATTTGCTACGGGCTCGAAGTAGATGAAAACGGTAAGAAATATGCAGGGCTTCCTTTTACCCCGCAACGCCAGTTTTTTACCCATTTATCAAACGATTACATAAATAGTGGCTGAGGATAAACATTTCAAACATCATATTGCATGCTGCGCAACTGGACTGGAATGATGTCAGGCATACGCAAAAATATATGTACAAAAATAGTCATAATTTCTTTCTATTTACATTTTTAGAACTATTTCTACATACTTTTCCCTATTACCTACTTTTATTCACTTGCTCGCTAACCCATTTTTTTAAGGCAAATCCCTCATTCCCACGTGCATGGGGGTTCAGCGGCCCAAAATCGCGTTTTACAATCACGTGAAAAGCAGCGAAAGTTGGTTTTAAATTTATGAACATAAACGTAGTCAGGTTCAGTCTCATCACCCCGGACGATGTATTTGCGCATAAAACAGAAAAATAATTGGCCAACGCACGGGCTGCCCGTGTGAAGATGCGTTTTTTGCATAGCTCCCCGCAGATTTTTATTGCTAACGGCACTGGTTTTTCCGGCAGATGCTTCTCGCTAAAAGAATTTCAGACTGGCCGCTAGAACTGTCAGGAAACATCCCCTCAAAATTCTAGTCTTCCAGCTTCTCACGTTTCGAGTTAGCAACTTACCCAGAAAAAACTTTCACAGGCCCGTACTTGGGTACCACACTTACCCGGGGCTGGGTTTGAACTCGCTAATACCCACTTGAACAGGGGACATCCCCCTAAGATTTCAGCGTTCTAACTTCTCAGATCTCTAAGTTATGAACTTACCCGAAGAAAATTTTGGAGGGCCCGTCCGTGGGCACCACGCAGATGATGGTGCCCATTTTGGGGACTGGAGCCGGCAAGTGCATGTAGATTAAGTCCCCGAAATTTCAGCCCTGCAACTTCTATAAGTCTTGAGATGAAAGTGCGTGACAGATGCACACATAGACACACGGACACACAGACAACCTCTCGTCAATATGAGTTTTTGCATTGTATAGCTGCGAGAAACGCATAATAAACAGATCACGTCCAAACATAGCTCTCGCTAATATGTTTTTGTGGTGCAGGCAGGCATGAAAATGTACATTAACAGGCTGTCGGAGCGCATACATAAAATCTGATATGCAACTTTTCCAACATTACCTATCCAAAACGACTCCTTTTTCCCAGCACAGCCGTACTTCCACACAAATCGTACACGACGAATTTTCACGCCTGATTATTCATCTCTCGTTGTAGTTCAACACTGCGCTTTTAAGCCTTATCGGCCAAATTTGCTCACATTTAGCTCAGCTAAATTTTTCGCCTCTTTGAGTGAGTTACTGTGTAAATTGTGCTAAATTTTTGGCCATCCGACTCAATTCTTTGTATTTTTTCTTAAAAAAGATGCTTTTAATATCTTTTCTGCCCCTTCTCCTTTCAATGCTGGTTGATGATTTCGAGCGAAATTCACACCTGTACATTTTTGCAGTTTTGCCGTCCAATTCAGGCAGGGCAATTTCAGGCGCAGTTGTCGGATATGTGACTGGAATATCAAATTCGACATCAAATTCATATCTGCAACAGCAAAAATCGTCAACACCAGCAGAATAATTAACTTTAGCAATGTAAGTCAACTCAAACACATCCGGCCACGCACCCTTCCCCGATTCCCCCCCCCCCCCCCCCCCCCCCCCCCCCCCCCCCCCCCCCCCCCCCCCCCCCCCCCCCCCCC